AAGTACCGTTTTAAACGTCTTTTGGTATGACGCGGTCGGGGATCGAACCCCGGACCTTCCGCTCTCTGGGCGGACGCTCTACCTCTAGACCACGGAGGCGTCCTTGTAGCAAAGAAACATGCGCGGCATATACACCATGTCTACACAATACTAGTTTCCATGTTAGAGCCGAGGACCATACAAGGCATAAGCTGTAGGTCTAAATAATGCTAGATTTTGTGTTGGAGCTGAAGACGATGCAAGCCATTATGTCTATATGACACTAGATTCCGTGTTAGAGCCGAGGACCATACAAGGCATAAACTGTAGGTCTAAATAATGCAAGATTTTGTGGTCGCAGCGGAGGAACATGCAAATCATTATGTCTATATAATACTAGATTCTGTGTTGGATGAGAGGTACATGCAAGGTATTATGTCTATAACATACTAGATTCTGTGTTGGATGAGAGGTACATGCAAGGTATTATGTCTATAACATACTAGATTCCGTGTTGGATGAGAGGTACATGCAAGGTATTATGTCTATAACATACTAGATTCTGTGTTGGATGAGAGGTACATGCAAGGTATTATGTCTATAACATACTAGATTCTGTGTTGGATGAGAGGTACATGCAAGGTATTATGTCTATAACATACTAGATTCCGTGTTGGATGAGAGGTACATGCAAGGTATTATGTCTATAACATACTAGATTCCGTGTTGGATGAGAGGTACATGCAAGGTATTATGTCTATAACATACTAGATTCTGTGTTGGATGAGAGGTACATGCAAGGTATTATGTCTATAACATACTAGATTCTGTGTTGGATGAGAGGTACATGCAAGGTATTATGTCTATAACATACTAGATTCCGTGTTGGATGAGAGGTACATGCAAGGTATTATGTCTATAACATACTAGATTCTGTGTTGGATGAGAGGTACATGCAAGGTTTTATGTCTATAACATACTAGATTCTGTGTTGGATGAGAGGTACATGCAAGGTATTATGTCTATAACATACTAGATTCTGTGTTGGATGAGAGGTACATGCAAGGTATTATGTCTATAACATACTAGATTCTGTGTTGGATGAGAGGTACATGCAAGGTATTATGTCTATAACATACTAGATTCCGTGTTGGATGAGAGGTACATGCAAGGTATTATGTCTATAACATACTAGATTCCGTGTTGGATGAGAGGTACATGCAAGGTATTATGTCTATAACATACTAGATTCTGTGTTGGATGAGAGGTACATGCAAGGTTTTATGTTTATAACATACTAGATTCCGTGTTGGATGAGAGGTACATGCAAGGTATTATGTCTATATAATGCTAGAATCCGCGTTGCAGCAGAGGAACATGCAAGGCATAATGGCATTAAAACCAAAACATGTGTGTTGAGTAGGACAGGATATTCATGCGAATGAGAGTAATCAGGATAATCTGAAAAATTAGTATAAGATTAACACGAATAATCTCAGTAATCAAAGCAATCAGAACAATCACAGTAATCTGACATATACTTTGTTTGTTTGTTTGTTGTTTAACGCCACACTCAGCAATATTCCAGCCGTACGACGACGGTCTCTAAATAATCGAATCATGAGCATTGATCTACGCAGTTGGGATACGATGACATGCATCAACCAAATCACCGAGCCTGACAACCCGATCCCGTTAGTCGCCTCTTCGGCCAAACGTAGTTGCCTCTAACATATACTCTTCATATCGTGCTATTTTAAAGTACATTTAAATAGGACTTCTGTTTATAATGATCAAAATATATTAGTTACGGACTATGAATACTTTTGTGGATATTTCGTTGTAGCAAAGACTTAAATGTGTATGGCATATCAAAGTTATTCACGATCCCTCACCTTTTTTGGAAATCCTTTGAAAGTAAAATATAAACTTTATTAATGGTGATATGATTTATGATGACACGTGACACCTCAAAGCAGTTAATGGCTTAAACATTCCTATTGTTTATACAATAAACGGCTGGCAATCTAAAATGAAATGAAGACGCCAGTTTTCCCAATAATTATAAATTTTACGTGACAAAACTGCCACTGGTTGTACAATAAAGCCCTCAATCGTGACCAAGCAGAATGCGGAGAGACGAATCTGAAGCAAGCCAATGGGCTGCGCGCAGGACTGAAACTCGGACATCTGAAATTGAAAACAAATCTGGCAGATTATTGAGGGATGGTAGGTTCGCCTGAAAAAAAATCAAAACGCTGAGAACTGAATACCAAACTGCTGAAGTGATAAGGAAGTTATAATCTGGTTCAAAGCATTACATTTATACATTCAAATTTCAACACACGTTGACAACCACCAACATCGGTCAAATAGAACCCTGCAAGGATAATGTGTTAAATTATTCTCATATCAGAAATAAGCTTTTCAGTTCGATGATCACTGAAGATCCTCCGTTTAAAACTAAAGCTCCAGGTACATGTATATCGAAGACCTTATATTGTTCAATAGTTTTCAAATAGCCAATTCCCTTCCCCTGATTTATTCACCTGAACTACAAATAAGGGAGACCAGCGAGGCCGCTTCATCTGTTTCATATTTAGATCTATGCATAAAGATTCAGAATGACAAAACACTCTCCACACGACAATATGACAAGAGGGATGGCTTCAACTTTCCAATAGTCAACTTTCCCTTATGTCAAGCAATATTCCAGCAGCTTCAGCCTGTGGTGTCTACATTTCACAACTATTGAGGCACAATCGAGCATGCTCTTTCAACGAATATATACGAGCTTTATACAACCCTTGAACATTCAAGGCCTCAAAAGGTTTTATGATAGACATGTGGAGGACAACGACGTTAATGATATCCGATGCAATTCCCTAGCATAATTTGGACCATATGTTCCCGTGCTTGGTCAGGTGAACATTTTTCTCAGGTGAACATACTTTGTCAATTATCACGTTTGGATGATTGGAAGTTTTGAGTGTTTGTGGACAATTTGAGGGTGTCAGCAACATAGCAAACACATCACAGTACATGACAGCCATGTATTGATTGTACACAACAAAATCGTTGTTTTATATAGAGCTTTAAAGTAACTTATGTTCTTTAACTTTGACGCATCGGTGACAAAAATGATGTCAATTGGAATTCCCTTTTTTGACTTGTACCATATGTTCTCGTGTTTAACAAGTTAACAAACGACTTGACTTTGTGACGGGCAAAACGTCGGGGCGAGGACAGCCCACCTTTCGTGAACACCTGGTATAATTACTATGTGATAGTGATTCATTAACACATGCTCATGGTGTAGGCCTAGAATGGACTCTGCTTTATGGAGAGATATCTTATGATCAGGAAAATGTTTTTGGTCGCTTTTTATGCAGTATCAGTTTATTAGTGTAGATTTGTTGACACTGCTGTTGTGCACTGATGTACTACAATATATTTGTTTAGGTATTTAAAGATCAGTTCAAGAGGTTAGATAGCTGAATGGTCAAAGGCTCTGTTCCCCACATGGCAACAATGTGTGAAGCAGTTTGGCAGATATGAAAGCTATACTGAGAATCATTATGGTGTTTTACTGTGTTTCAGAGAACAGTCTGACTATCAATAGAAACAGATACAGTTGTCATGTCTAAATAATATACTCCATAGCAGTAAGTTTTTTTTGTATGAATGCAAATATTATTGGTGTAGTATAACTGCGCATATTGTTACCTTGGTATATTTGCACATACAGTCGGTGTGGTATAACTGCACATATTGTCACCTTGGTATATTTGCACATACAGTCGGTGCGGTATAACTGCACATATTGTCAGCTTGGTATATTTGCACATACAGTCGTTGTGGTATGACTGCACATATTGTCAGCGTGGTATAACTGATAATATTTTCAGTCAAGTATGACCACTTGTATATCCTTATACACATAATACTGTGCGTACAGTCGGTTGATGTAGATTGGTTGATACTGCTGTTCTGCAAAGATGTACTGCATTATACTGTTCTGTTATTAAGAGATCAGTTTAAGAGACTTGGCTGAGTGGCAAAAGACTCAGTTCCAAACATGACAACAATGTGTGAAGTCAAAGTTCGGCCGGATATGACAGCTATACTGAGAATCATAATGGTGTTACTCGCCCGTGAAGAGATCACCCGTTTAATAAACATACAGCTGTATTACACATTGTGTTATACCAAATCGCGTGCTTATGTACTCTCGACACACGTTTTACGAACAAATATTGAAAGCACTCCACATCCCTGGGCTTATTCAACGACATTGCGGGTGGAGATGATAGATCACTGAGAGGAGCTTATGCACACTCGAAGCCCCCAGCAACCTTGTTGCTATGCTGACGTCACATGGCATTGTTTCCCCTATGGATCTTGCAACAAAATTCCACAAATTACGTCATCGGGTACCGTGACGTGATTGTAAACTTTGAGGTGCAAGGCTCCGTTCCACAAGGCGATGGTACTGTAGCGCAACGACAGTCGTTGGTCTTAGTTAAAGTATGTGAGTTGCGATAACCTTAGCGCTACGATAGTTTTGTGGAACGGACGCCTGAATTCTGAAGGTAGACCGTTGTATGGTATTAAATTCATACGTTTCAACTTTTGACGTGTTTGAAGTATTATTATGTTGAACTCAACTGGATAATGCCGTGGGTCGTGTAGGTGTCAGCCTATTCACACTCAACAGCATAATTCTAATAAAACGTTATAAAATACAAGTAATAAATAAAATACTAAACTCGCTCCCGTGTAAAACAAATTTTATGAAACTCGTGAATAGTTGTGGTATCTGACTCGCTTTCGCTCGTCAGATACCACAACTATTCACGAGTTTCATAAAACTGGTATTACACAGGAGCTCGTTTAGTATTCTATATTTACTATATGTCAGAGATCAGCATGACCATCAATAGAAAGAGATACAATTATCACATGTCTCAATAACATTCTCACTTAAACATAACATAAAATAAATAGTAAAGTCGATTGAATTGTTCTCCATTGTCTTTATTACCCAACATAATAACAAACTGCTATCACCGTAACTTCACTAATCTATCAATGACCACGACTGATACAAATCTGTTTGATACCATACATTTACTTCCAACTGTTAACTCCGTTCAGCTCGCCTATACCAATGGCATACTTTACATGCTTGATAATGTGTAGAAGAGACATGTCCTATATTTAAATGAACAGAAAGATCCAGATTGACATATATGCTCATATTGTCGATATGGTATAATTACATAATTTGTCGGTATGTAATAACTACACATGTTGTCAGAGTGGTGCGTGGTATATCTACACATATTGTCAGCATGGTGCTGTGTGGTATATCTACACATATTGTCAGCATAGTGTCGTGTGGTATATCTGCACATATTGTCAGCATGGTGGTGCTTGGTATATCTACACATATTGTCAGCATGGTGTCGTGTGGTATATCTACACATATTGTTAGAGTGGTATAGCTACACATATTGTCAGCATGGTGTCGTGTGGTATATCTGCACATATTGTCAGCATGGTGGTGCTTGGTATATCTACACATATTGTCAGCATGGTGTCGTGTGGTATATCTACACATATTGTTAGAGTGGTATATCTACACATATTGTCAGCATGGTGTCGTGTGGTATATCTACACATATTGTTAGAGTGGTATATCTACACATATTGTCAGCATGGTGTCGTGTGGTATATCTACACATATTGTTAGAGTGGTATATCTACACATATTGTCAGCATGGTGTCGTGTGGTATATCTACACATATTGTTAGAATGGTATAGCTACACATATTGTCAGCATGGTGTCGTGTGGTATATCTGCACATATTGTCAGCATGGTGGTGCTTGGTATATCTACACATATTGTCAGCATGGTGTCGTGTGGTATATCTACACATATTGTTAGAGTGGTATATCTACACATATTGTCAGCATGGTGTCGTGTGGTATATCTACACATATTGTTAGAGTGGTATAGCTACACATATTGTCAGCATGATGTCGTGTGGTAGATCTACACATATTGTTAGAGTGGTATAGCTACACATATTGTCAGCATGGTGTCGTGTGGTATATCTCCACATATTGACAGCATGGTTTTGTGTGGTATATGTACACATATTGTCAGCATGGTGGTGCGTGGTATATCTACACATATTGTCAGCATGGTGTTGTGTGGTATATCTACACATATTGTCAGCATGGTGGTGCTTGGTATATCTACACATATTGTCAGCATGGTGTTGTGTGTTATATCTACACATATTGTCAGCATGGTGGTGCTTGGTATATCTATTCATATTGTCAGCATGGTGCTGTGTGGTACATCTGCACATATATCCAGCATGGTGTCGTGTGGTATATCTGCACATGTTGTTAGAGTGGTATAGCTATACATATTGTCAGCATGGTGTCCTGTGGTATATCTGCACATATTGTTAGAGTAGTATAGCTATTCATATTGTCAGCATGGTGCTGTGTGGTATATCTGCACATATATCCAGCATGATGTTGTGTGGTATATCTGCACATGTTGTTAGAGTAGTATAGCTATACATATTGTCAGCATGGTGTCCTGTGGTATATCTGCACATATTGTCAGCATGGTGCTGTGTGGTACATCTGCACATGTTGTTAGAGTGGTATAGCTATACATATTGTCAGCATGGTGCTGTGTGGTACATCTGCAAATATATCCAGCATGGTGTCGTGTGGTATATCTGCACATGTTGTTAGAGTGGTAAAGCTATACATATTGTCAGCATGGTGCTGTGTGGTACATCTGCACATATATCCAGCATGGTGTCGTGTGGCATATCTGCACAAATTGTTAGAGTGGTATCGCTATACATATTGTCAGCATGGTGTCCTGTGGTATATCTGCAAATGTTGTTAGAGTGGTATAGCTATACATATTGTCAGCATGGTGCTGTGTGGTACATCTGCACATATATCCAGCATGGTGTCGTGTGGTATATCTGCACATATATCCAGCATGGTGTCGTGTGGTATATCTGCATATATATCCAGCAAGGTGTTGTGTGGTATATCTGCACATATATCCAGCAAGGTGTTGTGTGGTATATCTGCACATATATCCAGCAAGGTGTTGTGTGGTATATCTGCACATATGGTCAGCGCAGAGTCGTGAGGTATATAATGCCAGTTGTTTATAACTGCACATTTTACCTGTAGATATTGTCGGTGTGGTATAAGTGCACTAATTGTCGGTGTACACGTGATGTAGCTGCACATATTGTCGGTATGGTATAACTGCACATATTGTCGGTAGGTATAACTGCACATATACTCGGTATGATAATATCTGCACCAATTGTCGGTGTACGTTTGGTGTAGATACACATATTGTCACATACTGTAGGTAGGTATAACTGCCGACATAACTGTGTGGTACAACTGAACATATTTGCAGTAATATAGATTACTATATTGCATGTCAGTAAGGTGTTGAATGTCCTTATATACACAGTCTTATAACACTCAGCTGGTGTTATATCCACTTGTACAACTCAATGATCAAAACTCAACCAGATTGTTTTCGTCTCTCTTAAGCTAGACAGCCAGGCATTGCATTTCATCACACACACAGCACAATCCAAATACATGTATATCATAACATTCAGCTGGTGTTATATCCACATGTCGAGATCCAACAAGGGATGCTGCTCATCTGATAAGCTAGACAGCAAGGGTTCATCGTGAAACATCAACACATATTTATGTCATGATTACAGACAAGCAATTGGGGAAAGCATCATTCATCAGTTCATTTCCACTGTTACATGCATTGCCACAGCACACACTCTTAATATTGTGTAACTGTGTATCCATATATATCCATATATCTGGAACCCATACACATATTCTGAGACACACATCAGATCACAAATTTGTAGGTCCAAAGACAGATACTGGTTTAGATATCTGAATATTCATCTACGTTATTGACGTGACATACAACACTCCCCTCCAGGTTGTATAACTATCAATTCATGGTACTGTTGGTTCATGATAGACTAACGCTAAGTCAGCATTTCCTTACTGTAATAAATGCGAGAGTGCCAGGAAGTGGAAGACGAATTTCGACTCTAGTAGTCCTTGGGATCATAACAAATCCCCTCAGTCCACCATTTGTATATATTCTGGTACGTTTGTCTCACCAGAGGCTGATGTAACTTGGCACACATGTCACATATAAATGGGATACCTTTCAGAAAGTTCCCGCCAGGCTTGTACTTAGCCATGTTCCTGAGGATCTTAGTATAGCCAGGTAGGTCTTGCTGCAGAGCCTTGAGATGTTCTGCCAGAGCTCTGGGACTGGGGAAATCTGCTGTGTTGATGTACAAGTCTGGGGGGAACAGGGTACGGTAGTCTGCACCCCCTCGAACTACTGGAACGATTCTTTTGTTAAATGCGTTGTAAAACTTTTCGGTTACGTAATCCTTGCACATTGAGTTTTCAAAAGACAAATAGAACCAGTACTTATTCCACAAATCCTCACACTGTTGTCCTTTACATGTCAGATTGCCACAATGACCGTATATATCCACATCTATGTACTTTCTCAGTTCCTCAACGTATTCCTTCCGTTTACTCTGAGTGTCACAGTGACTGACGAACCACAGCACAGACCTGGTCTTCCTTAGGACGATGTCGGTGTAGTTAGCGGTGTCGACAAAGTCGTCTTTGAGGGTGAGTCTGGAGTACGTAGAGACGACGTCAGAATCCATCCGGAAGGATAATGTCCAGTTGAATCTTCCAATCCAGTCCGCCCGTTGAATGGCTCTAGGGTTATAAAACTGGTAAATTGTCTCGGCTGTGTAGAACACCCAGATCTGGTCTGGGTTATTATTTGGTACGGCATCGTCCTTCACTAAGTCGATATGAACCAAGACAACGTCGGCCGTGGGTACATCGCTTCTATTGAGGGACATAACACAGTCGCTGACTGCACACATCGAGAAATCATTGTACTCTTTCACTTTCATCCAGGTTGGATTATTTAACCATGCAAGTCTCTTCAAGGGTCGCTTTTTAAAAGATTTTAACTTTGTGGATACCTTGATTGGTTTGTATACTACTTTCTTGACCTTCTCAACGACCAGTGCATAATTCGGTATCCCATATTCATATTTATATTCCATTTTGAACAACTCTGATTCATCTTTCACGCCACCTGGTAACATCACCCGTGGCTTTAATGTCGTGGTGGTTATAGGTTTAGGAGTTGTTATTTCTAGTTTATCTGCAAAAGAATCATTTGTCTGATGGAAAAGTAGCAAAACCAGAACACCCACACCGACAAGAAGGGTCAAGCGTGCCACGGCGCCCCGTCCGAGTACACGACAGGGGTGTACAAGCTGTGTCTGAAATGTAAAGCAATCTCAGTCAATTCAGTGGACAGGACACTGTGTTAGTGAATGCGTCTTGGTATAGTGTGTGAACAAATCGAGTGGATGATTGAGTGAGTGATTGGATGATTAAGTGAGTGAGTAATCGAGTGGATGATTGAATGAGTAAGTAATCGAGTGGATGATTGAGTGAGTGAGTAATCGAGTGGATGATTGAATGAGTAAGTAATCGAGTGGATGATTGAGTGAGTGAGTAATCGAGTGGATGATTGAATGAGTAAGTAATCGAGTGGATGATTGAGTGAGTGAGTAATCGAGTGGATGATTGAATGAGTAAGTAATCGAGTGGATGATTGAGTGAGTGAGTAATCGAGTGGATGATTGAATGAGTAAGTAATCGAGTGGATGATTGAGTGAGTGAGTAATCGAGTGGATGATTGAGTGAGTGAGTAATCGAGTGGATGATTGAGTGAGTGAGTAATCGAGTGGATGATTAAGTGAGTGAGTAATCGAGTGGATGATTGAGTGAGTAAGTAATCGAGTGGATGATTAAGTGAGTAAGTAATCGAGTGGATGATTAAGTGAGTGAGTAATCGAGTGGATGATTGAGTGAGTAAGTAATCGAGTGGATGATTGAGTGAGTAAGTAATCGAGTGGATGATTGAGTGAGTAAGTAATCGAGTGGATGATTAAGTGAGTGAGTAATCGAGTGGACGATTGAGTGTGTGAGTGATCGAGTGGACGATTGAGTGAGTGAGTGATCGAGAGGATGCATGATTGAGTGAGTGAGTGATCGAGAGGATGCATGATTGAGTGAGTGAGTGATCGAGAGGATGCATGATTGAGTGAGTGAGTGATCGAGAGGATGCATGATTGAGTGAGTGAGTGATCGAGAGGATGCATGATTGAGTGAGTGAGTGATCGAGAGGATGCATGATTGAGTGAGTGAGTGATCGAGAGGATGCATGATTGAGTGAGTGAGTAATCGAGTGGATGATTGAGTAGGTGAGCGGATGGTTGTGATTTATGGAGTGGATGACAGAGTGAGTGAGTGATCGAGTGGATGAATGAATGATTGCTTAAATGGGTAATCGAGTGGATAATTGAGTGAGTGATTGGATGATTGAGTGAGTGAGTAATCGAGTGGATGATTGAGTGAGTGAGTAATCGAGAGAATGATTGATTGAGTGAGTAGATGAATGTTAGGGAAATAGGTGTGCGAGTGAGTGGATGAGAGATTGAGCGTGTGCGAAGAAGTATCGATTGCTTAACGTTATACGGTGATGAACAATAATTACTTTGTGAGTGTACAAAACCATTAACTCTGTGAGAGGAAATACGTCGAAATACGGCGACATGACACATGTATGGTTATTTGTTTATAGTTAAAAGTTTAATTTATATATAGTAAATTATACAGGTAAACAGCAGAAGTTACTTCAAACGATCACGATTTCGTTGAGCAGTTAAAACACCTGGCTATCATCTACACATTAAAATGTCAACTTATTTGATAAACTCTCAAAATACGTTGCTGTCAGCGTTGGTGTTTCCCTGTGATTTTCAGTGACCTCTTTCACAACAACTTTCAATCATGCCATAGTGGCAATTGACAAAGTATGATAAGGACCCTTGTTGACCATGGGGAATGCATAATTTAAACAATGAGAAAAACGTTTACAAATTATAAAAATATAAAACGTCAACCCAAGAGAAGGGCCAGTGTCGATTAACGGCCGAAACAGATTCCATTGGGCGTAAGAGACAAAATGGCGATGCTAATTATATGAATGGCTCATTGAAAATCAGTGACGACGCCAGGTGTCCACGAAAGGGGCATCCAGCATCAGAAACATGGACCAAGTCCAGCATCAGAAACATGGACCAAGTCCAGCATCAGAAACATCCACCCAGTCCAGCATCAGAAACATCCACCCAGTCCAGCATCAGAAACATGGACCCAGTCAGAAACATCAACCCAGTCCAGCATCAGAAACATCCACCCAGTCCAGCATCAGAAACATCCACCCAGTCCAGCATCAGAAACATCCACCCAGTCCAGCATCAGAAACATCCACCCAGTCCAGCATCAGAAACATCCACCCAGTCCACCAGCATCAGAAACATCCACCCAGTCCAGCATCAGAAACACCCACCCAGTCCACCAGCATCAGAAACATCCACCCAGTCCAGCATCAGAAACATCCACCCAGTCCAGCATCAGAAACATCCACCCAGTCCAGCATCAGAAACATCCACCCAGTTCAGCATCAGAAACATCCACCCAGTCCAGCATCAGAAACATCCACCCAGTCCACCAGCATCAGAAACATCCACCCAGTCCAGAATCAGAAACATCGACCCAGTCCAGCATCAGAAACATCCACCCAGTCCAGCATCAGAAACAGCCACCCAGTCCAGCATCAGAAACATCCACCCAGTCCAGCATCAGAAACATCCACCCAGTCCAGCATTAGAAACAGCCACCCAGTCCAGCATCAGAAACATCCACCCAGTCCAGCATCAGAAACATCCACCCAGTCCAGCATCAGAAACATCCACCCAGTCCAGCATCAGAAACATCCACCCAGTCCAGCATTAGAAACAGCCACCCAGTCCAGCATCAGAAACATCCACCCAGTCCAGCATCAGAAACATCCACCCAGTCCAGCATCAGAAACATCCACCCAGTCCAGCATCAGAAACATCCACCCAGTCCAGCATCAGAAACATCCACCAAGTCCAGCATCAGAAACATCCACCCAGTCCAGCATCAGAAACATCCACCCAGTCCAGCATCAGAACCATCCACCCAGTCAAGCATCAGAACCATCCACCCAGTCCAGCATCAGAAACATCCACCCAGTCCAGCATCAGAAACATCCACCCAGTCCAGCATCAGAAACATCCACCCAGTCCAGCATCAGAACCATCCACCCAGTCCACCAGCATCAGAAACATCCACCCAGTCCAGCATCAGAAACATCCACCCAGTTCACGTATGTATGAAGTAAGCCGCCTTGGGCGAGTCACGGACTTGCTCGTTGTTCGATTTTCACTTGAAGTTCGAAAAATCATACTACTACCATCCCTACCTACTACTACCACTACTCCCACTCCCACTACCACTATCACTACCACTATCACTACTACTACTGCCACTACTACCACTACTACTGCTGCTACTACTACTACCACTACTCCCACTCCCACTAACACTACCACTACTACAACTGCTACTATAGCTACCCACTACCACTACTACTACTACTACTACTACTACTACTACTACTACCACTACCACTACCACTACCACTACAACTTCCACTACAACTACCACTACTGCCACCACTACTACCACTACTACCACTACTACCACTACAACAACTACCACCACTACTACTACTACAACTACTTCTACTACTACTTCTAATGATAATAATGATAATGATAAATAAGACATATTTATAGCGCTCTTTCCAGACTTGATTTCAGACGGGATGTTACCATGCCATTGCCTGAGTTCTCAATGATCTGCCAGCCAACAGCAGATGGTAGTGACGCAAGCCCGAACAAACACCGTATGGAAACAAAAAACGACAACACCGGAGACTTCAACAGTGATCGACCTCTCTCGGGAAAGTGGATATCAGGAGATTTGCGGATTTCAAGAACTTCCGTTCTTCCTCCATGCCCATCCTCCCAAAAAGTGAGTGAGTGAGTATGGTTTTACGCCGCTTTTAGCAATATTCCAGCAATATCACGGCGGGGGAACACCAGATATGGGCTTCACACATTGCACCCATATCGGGATTCGAACCCGGGTCTTCGGCGTGACGAGCGAACGCTTTAACCACTAGGCTACCCGACCGCCCATGCGAGATAAGAACAATAACTCAACAACAATTTGATTGCCAACAAACATGTACTTTTATTAACACACGATGGTTGATGGTCATGGTATATGCATGCTGGTCAGTTTAACGAATAACATTATCTTGTACTGAACATATAAACGATGTGATATTACATACTGCCCAGATGGAGGGAATAGCGCCTCACATGCTGAATATCCCAACTTAAATAAACCACAGGAGGGACTCACACTTTCACTCACCATAACGTAGGGTTTTTGCCCAGTTAAAACAGTTAAAGGGGGTCTGGGCTCGGGAAAATAAGCAGTCCCAGCAAGTTTGATTTGAAACAAAATATACAACGTCAATGCCAGAGAATGCTCAGTCTCGATTGTCTGATAAAACAGATTCCACTTGGCGTAAATATACGTTCAAAATAGTGGTGAATATTATATAAATGGATCACTGAAAATGACACCAGGTGTTCGCAAAAGGGTTAGCGTGTGAACACACACTGTGAAGCATAAACCGCCTTCATATGGCAAAGTTGACACAATTTATGGATAACAACTTGTTTAATACTGTAATGTATTCACAGATAGCAACATTTTTGATACAGTACAGTATTAAAAAAGTTGTTATCCATAAATTGTGTCTACTTTGTCATCCGTCAACTTCTAAGTAATGCCTATCAAACAATTCGCCTCCATATGATCAAGAACATATACTAGTATACAATGTACAGAATCCTGACTTAAATTTGCAGTCTTAGCAATTTTGAAATAATTTGTTAAGGTACAGATTGTTCGTCTTCTAGCTCAAATTGCACGAGGGTTTCAGTTTCCAACAAGGTAACAATTACAACATCAAGATCTACAACAATGAATCATAAACACCATCAACGCTAATAGAACAAACAATCAAATCACCGAACTATGACCTAAACCTGACGCTTACACAGCTACCCTACCGCTCTTGCTACACCGATAGATTCACTTCCCTACACCAGAGGAGTCTGGGGGCACGGGTGGCCCAGTCGTCTAAGGCGCCGCGATTCTCTGTGCAGAGTTGCGTCCCTTGGGCACGCCGGAAACCTATGATTGTGGGTTCGAATCCCGGTTCGCCCTGATTATGTTTCTAGGTTTGTCAGCACCATACCCG